GGCACACATGGGCGGATCATTTCCTGAAACCATCCCCAGAGTTCTGAGTGATGAATAGCTTTCTCTGTGTACATAACTAAGGGAGACTTGGTTTCCTGGCTCCAGCCTGGTAAGCACCAAACTTCTTGCCTCTCTCCCTGGGCACTGACGTCTTGCTCCCAAGTTCTGTGTCACCGATTTCAACAGTGACTCATCCTGGCTGTCCTTTTCAGTGACACTTCCCTTCCTCTCAGTTCACCACTTTCAGTCCCCTTGTCCTTGACCTCCAGATGTCGGAGAGCAGCATGGCATATGAGAGACACAGATTGCAGGAGGCCTTAGAGAAGGAGAAGAGGAAGGGGCAGGACCTGGAGAACCGCTTAACCAAGCTGAAAGAGGTATGAGTCTCGGAGAGGAAAGGATGAGGTGGTTGGGGTTCAAATCTTCCCTCTGCCCCTGTCTGGCTGTTGGAGTTTAGGCAAGTTGCTTACCATCTGTGTGCTTTGTTGTCCTCACATCCTAAATCCATACAATGTCAATGGGTCCATCTTATGATTCACTGTGAGACATGACTACGAATGCACACACAGAGCACTTCTGTGGGTTGGCTTATAGGATTATTACAAGCCTGAGGCTCAGAAGCCACAGGGCAGGATCTGAACCCGGACTCCCAAACTCTTCATCTTCTCCCCATCTCTCTACTGAGCTTCAACCTTGTGTGGGGTAAGAGAGACGTCAGGTTGTACACACCTGCACCTCTGATCACTTCCATGTCGGTTTCCCACCAGCACTGGTCATTGTCATCATCGTCACCTACGAAACTGAAGTGATGACTTCTAGTTGGAGGCACAGTGGGTGGCCCATGACCTCACAAACTGTAGACATCATTCGTTCCTCCTGGTCCCCTATAGTGCAGAGGACAGACACACACACCATGACTGATAACTTGAAGTCAAGAAATCCTTCCAATCTCAGTCTCCCAAGTAGCTAGGATCACAGGCATGAGCCACCAGTGCAGGGATAGGAGTCTGCATTTTTATCAAGTAATATCAAAGAGCTCTGAACAACACCATCCTGGGAAGCACAGTGTCAGTAAAGCATCTGTGACTCACGACAGTCCTGGGCACTGCTTTTAATGGGGGCCTTGCCTAACTGGCAGGTGTCTAGAGAAGACAGAGCTCAGCAAAGTAGCTCAAGATCCATGAGCTCAGGGCAGCAGTACTTCTGTCCAGAGCCATGACTGCAGGCTAAGCGAGAGCCAGGGCAGCATCTGCTCACTCCCAGCCTGGTTTCCCCAAATGCACCATGGACCTCCCATGAAATACACCAGTAGAACAGGACAGATTGAAATGCTCAAGGTACATACATACATAGGCTGGGAAATAAATGGGACCTCTGCAAAAAAAAAGCATATCCTGAAATCAATTTTATTCTCACTTACAGAACAAGGGAAAGCCCAGTCAGTTGTGGTTTACTATCAAACTCATGAATATGTGACCTTTATATATTTAATTTTTTAGTGGTAGTAGGGTTTGAACTCAGGGCTTCACACTTGCTAGGCAGGCACTCTTACCATTTGAACCACTCCACCAGCCCTTTGTTTGTGATGGGCTTTTGCAAGATAGGGTCTTGAGAACTATTTGCCTGAGGCTGACTTTGAACCCTGATCCTCCAGATCTCTGCCTCTTGAGTAGCTAGGGTTATAGATGTGAGCCATTGCTTGGTGATGTGGCCACTCTTTGTACCAACCCGGGAAAGATTCTCTCCCAAGGGTCACCATAGGGAGGACTCTAGATGCAGGGAAGTCCTTAAAACAGAAGGACATCAGAGGATGGAGTGTGCAGAAACCTCACCATTGGCTGGTGGCACCACAGTGACCAGGAGAAGCAGGATTCCACCCCAGGAACTCAGCACTTCCCTGGAAAGACCTCAAAAATACAAGGTCACAGAAACAAAGGAAAACTGTATGATTCTGGTCTGGACAATGACTTTTTAGGTTTAACCCTAAAAGTATAGGCAACAAAAGCAAAAACTGACAAATGACAGCACATCCAAATTAAATGGATGGACAGATTGGGAGAAAAATATGTGCCAGCCATACATAAGTGATCATACCCAAAGTATATACAGAACTTAACCCTATAGAAAGAAAAAGAAATCCAATTTAAAATGGACAAGAGACCTGACAGATACTTTTCAATAGAAGACAGACAAATGGCCAACAGATATATGAAAGATGTTCCGTGTTAACAATCCTTAGGGAAATGCAAATTAAAACTACAGGGAGATAATCAGGGTTGACGGGGATGGAGAGAAAGGGGACCCTCTGCACAACGGTGCTGGGAATGTAAATTAGTGTAGCCACTGCAGGAAACCTCCCAGATGGAGGCTCCTCACAAAACTAAAATTAGAATCAGCAGGTGATCCAGTGATCCCATGTCTGAGTATTTACCCAAAGGTCTTAAAACCAGTTTGTGAAAGAGACGTCTACACACCCACATTCACTGCAGCACTGTTCGCAATAACCCGGTTATAGGATCAACCTCAGTGCACATCAGTGGTAAACAGATGACCATGTGTGTGGCTATACACAATGAAATATTACATCGTAAAGCAGAAAGAAATTCTGCCATTTCTGAGAACACAGGTGGAATTCGGGGGTCATTAAGTGAAATAAGCCAATCCCACAGAAAGACACACATCGCCTATTTAGCCTCGTATTTGGATTCTAAAACCATGGAACTCCCCAAAACAGAGAGGAGCAGGGGTAACGGAGACTACAGGGAGGGGACAGGGAGATGAGGGTCAAAGGTCACAAAGCCTCACAGCAGAGGAATAAGTCGAGTTTGTTTTGAGATCTTTTGCACACTGTGGTGAATTTAACAAATAATAGTGTGCTGTACCTTTCAAAAGTTCTAAGAGTAAGTATCAAATGTTTCCACCACAAAAAAATAAGTAGTTGATATGTTGATTAGCTTAACTTAATTATTCTACATTGTATTCATAAATCATAGCATTATTTTGTACCCCATAAATATATGCAAATATAATTTGTCAATTTGCAACTTAAAAATTTTAAGTTAAAAGAAAATTTAGCCAGGCATGGTCTAATCCGAGGTACTCAAGGCCAATCAAGGCCAGCCCAGGGTAAAAGTTTTTAAGACTCCCCCCCCCAGCATCTTAACTGATGGCCAGAAGCAGTGGTGCATGTCTGTCATCCTAGCTACACAGGGAAGCATAAATAGGAGGATTGAGATCCAGGCTAGCCTGGGGATAAAGCAAGACCCTATCTCAAGAATAACCAGCACAACAAGGTCTGGGGACAAAGCTCAACAGGTAGAGCATCTGCTTAGCAAGTGTGATGCCCTGAGTTCAAGCCCAGTACCATAAAAGAAATATTCTTTTTGAAAATTTGAAAAAAAATAGAATTTGACATTCTGAAATTTTGAGTTAATCTCTGAAGAAATGGACACTTAGAGAATGGTTTTAAATGCAGTTCCCGGGTATTATTGAAGTACTTTTTATTCATGTAGGAAAACAGAATAATAAAACCCATTAAAATTGTAAAAGAAAAAAAGGGAGGGAGAAAAGAGGGTAAGAAAAAGTAGCAGAGGGAGTGAATGATCAAAGTATATCACATGTGGGCATGAAATTATCACAGTGAACCTTTTGCAGTTAATATACACAAGTAAAAAATGAACCGACTGACTGAGGACATTAACCGAATTTGAAAAGCATTTTCTACCCCTCCAAAATGCACGCTTACCAAAACCTGATGTTTAAAATAACTCACTAGGTAGATGTTGAAAATACTTGCATTTTGAAGCAAAGTGGTTTTTTCTTCTATTCCCAAATTTGTTGAAAATCTTTTGTTTGTGTATAGTTTGACATTTCAAGGTGAATTGTTACAAACTTGGCATTTGCAATAACTTGTGTCCTTGAATTCGAATTTTTAATTCTATATGCAAAATTAGAAAATGATAAAAATTATTTTCAATCCCAAATATTTAATCTCTAGTGCCACACACACACACAGAAAAAGAATCCAAATGCTACCAATAAGTCCTGATTTTGTATCCATGTTCAGTCCACATCCTCAGTAATCCTCTCATTGAATTAATAATAAGTACATCTAACAAACTTGAAATTGCAAATAAATATGTAACAAAACAAAGAAAGAAGCACTCACACATAAAGCCACTTGTTTGCACACCATTGGCCTTGTATGCATGGAAGAGTGATGGAAGGTCAAGTTCACGGACGGAGACCAGACAGGGAAAAGAGTGTGTGAAGAGGAACAGGACCAAGGACTGTGGGCCATGGACCATGGACCATGGGCCGTGTTCTGCCACCCTCAGGAAAGCTGCAGAGCAGCAAAGACTCCAGGCCTCAGGTTCTGGGTGGCTTCATGGCCCCAAGACACACCCACAGTCCACAGTGGAGCCTCTGAACCTTGGGGCGTTTCCCGGAGCAGAGTGACAAGCTGCTCTGCTGGCCTCCTGCCATGTCCCCAGGGAGCATCTCCTTAGGCCAGATCTGCACATCATCCTCATTGACGTCCCTCGAGCCCTCCAGGTCGTTCAGACCCTCACAGTCGCACAGACAGGATGAAGTGACTGCCCATGAGGTGCAGGAATAGCACGGTGACAGTACTGGTTGCATTCTGTTTTTCAAAAATACTAGCTTCTTTTCCTGATTATAAAAGGAGCCCCTGCCTTTCTAGAACATTTAACAAATACAGAAAACCACTCAAAAGACATTAAACCTCACAGCAGCCCCACCAAGCAGTCATCTCGGGTGACATTTTGATGTGGTTCTGTCCAGAGTTCATCGTGATTGCAGAGGTGCAGAAACAGCAATTCCTCACCAAGTGGTGATGTAGCCGAGACGCTGCTGCTGCCTTGGCAGCCCTCTTTCATTCTCCCCTGACCCCATCTCCCACGACCTGCGGCTGAGGGGCTCCCTGGGTCTGTCCCACGCTGGGTGGGCGCACCTCTCTCGATGACATTTGGAAACCTAGCATGGCGCCTGTCAGGGAGCCCAGGTTCCGCTTTGCTGGAGGAGGGACAAAGACAGCGGAACAGGTTCCAGGGGGAAGTATACATTGGGTCAAGGACAGGGAACTGGGGTCCAATCTGCCAGGGCCTGGAGGGCAGGGCTGGGGCATCCCCATGCCAGAGCCCCAGAGAAGAGCAGAGAGTCCCGAAGACAGGTCCCTTGTCGGAGGGTGGCAGCAGCCAGCACATTTATCCTGGAGACCAGATTTACAGAGACATGACAGCCCTCCTCAAATATTTAAAGGGCTGTCTCATAAAAGAGAAATAAAACTTTCTAAGAGCTCCAGGTGACAGAACTGAGCTCAGAAATCAGAAATCACAAGAAGACAAATCTCAGCTAAAGACAGAGTTCTGCAGTACTTGGAACCTTCCAGAAGAAGTGGGCTTTGGACTTACAAAGACCAACAGAATGGAGTTTCTGTCCTCTCTGACAGCATGGGGGAAAGGGTGAACACCAATGCTGAACAACCATAATTATAATATTTGTTATTTGTCTAGGAAATAGAATTAAAAGAACAAAAAGAAGACGCCTTAAATAATAAATTAAATGACGCACTGGCCGTGGCAGAAAAGGCTCAGCAAACAAAGACGGCTGAGAGTCTAAAAACAGAGAGCCTCACCCTGAAATTCAATGAAACGCTAGCCGAACTGGAAACGGCCAAGACAAAAATGGTAGGTGGCAGGGAAAACGGTAAGGTTTTCCTCAGCAGAAGATGCCAGCGTCCTGCGCACACAGGGTTTAGAGCAGGCCTGCTCGGCCTCAGGCTGGTGACACTCTGGGCCGGGTGACTCCTGCTGGGAATTTCCTTGCATTGTAGGATGGTAAGCCACACTCCTGGTCACTACCCACTAGAAGCCAGCATCCTCCCCCAGTCCAAAAATGGCTTCAAACACTGCCACGTGCCCCTTCAAGGGAAAATTACCCCATTGAGTAAGTCTGGCTGGGAAAGAAAAGTACCCGGAAGCCTGTCTCCTTCCTAGGCGTCCTCAGATGCATCCCCAGATGATTTCAGGATTGGGGAGGAGGGACAGGGTGCCCAGGAATGTCATGATAAGACTTTTAAGAGGCCACAGATTTTATGACCATGTTTTTACTGTTTTGTTTTGGTTCTATCCCTGGGAACTGAACCCAAGGCCTTGCATATATGGGGCAAGCGCGCTACCACTTTTGCTTGTATATATTTTGTTTTGAGACAGGGTCTTGCTAACTTTTCCTTGGCTGGCCTTGATTTTCTGCCTCCCAAGTAGCTAGGATCACAGGCATGAGTCAGAGTACCAAGCTATTCATTGAGATAGGCTCTCACTAACTATTTGCCTGGGCTGACCTCAAACCATGATCCTCTCGATCTCAACCTCTCAAGTGTCTAGAGTTACAGGTGTGAGCCACTGGCGCAAAGCTTGTGGTTTTTGGGGGGTTTTTTTGGGGGGGGTCTTTTTTTTCTATATTTTGGTGGGACTGGGGTTTGTACTCAAGGTTTGCACTTGAAAGCAGGCGCTCTACCACTTAAGCCACACAACCAGTCCATTTTGCTCCGGTTATTTTGGAGATATGTCCTCTCAGACTATTTGCCTGGACTGGCCTCAAACCTCAATCCTCCTGATCACAGCCGCCCAAGTAGCTAGGATTACAGGTGTGAGCCACTAACTCCTGGCTTGTATTTTAAGACAGATCTTGCTAACTTTTCCAGGGCTGGCCTCTATCCTCCTACCTCCACCTCCCAAGTAGCTGGTATTATAGGCATGAACCACAACACCCAGCTAAGACAGTACTTTAAAGCTTTAGCTCGGCACTCAAGGCCTTGCACAATCAGGGCCCAATGCTGCATTCATTCGTCACTGTACATTCGGTCACACATCAGTGGGTAAGGGCACAATAAAGATTAACCTTCCAGAGAGCACAAAATAAACCAGGGAGAGGGGCTGGGGTTGGAAAGGCCAGCTCAGCGTTCTACACCTGCATGTATCACTGTAGTATGTGTCTAGAATCATAATAGCCTGGACACTCAAAGGGCGGTGGCGAAGAAGAGCACCTTGTGCCACGGCAGGGTCATAGTGGCAGCATTTGACAGCTGTACATGTGACCACAAGTACAGCAAAAAGAGAGGAGATGGGAGGCAGGTGGGTGTCACCTTGATGGGAACGTGGAGGTCCAGCGTGGCAGGGGTCTCCTGGAAGAGAGAACATGCAGTTCTTGAGAATCAGCCAGAGCAAATAGTTCTTGAGGCCCCATCTCTAAAATAACCAGAGCAAAATGGACTGGAGGTGTGGCTCAAGTGGTAGAGTGCCTGCTTTGCAAGTGCAAAGTCCTGAGTTCAAATCCCAGTTCCAATAAAAAACAAAGAAATACATATACATTTTCTTTTTTTTCAGTACTGGACTTTGAACTCAGGGCCTATACCTTGAGCCACTCCACCAGCCTTTTGTGTGTGTGTGTGAAGGGTTTTTTTGAGATAGGGTCTCGAAAACTCTTTGCCCAGGCTGGCTTCAAACCTCAATCCTCCTGATCTCTGCCTCCTGCCTAGCTAAGATAACAGGCGTGAGACACCAGCACCTGGCCTCATTTGCTTTTGTCTTATGGAATTGTTCACTCATTCATTCACTGCTGTTACTTTGGGATTTTTTTCTTTGTGGTTTTTGAAACAGGTGTCACTCTGTAGACCAAGCTCTCCTGAACACCAGTCATCCTGCTTCAGCCTCCTGAGAGCTGGGATTATTGGCTGGTACCACCAAGCTCGGCTCATTCATTCATTAACGTCTGTCACCATTTAGGTCTGGAGGCTGTGGGCACAGCAGTAAATAAGCACAAAGTTAATGGCCCCATGGGAATGAGAAGCAAAAAAACAAGGTCATTTTGGATAGTGATAAGGGTCTCAGGGGCAATAAAAGAAATAAAATAGGGAGTGTCTCAAACAAGTGTGATAGACAGCTGGTCAGGGAGGGTCTCTCTAAGGAGGTGGCTTTGGGACTGAGACCTGAAAGGTAAGAAGGGGACAGCCATAAAAGGAGAGAGGAACAGCATATGCAAAGGCCTGGGGCAGGATCCAGTTTAGCTCCTGTATATCCAAAGGAGGCAAACTGTTTTTTGTCACCAAGCTCCAAGATCACATAACCCTTGCACTGTTTTCACAGATCATGATGGAGGAGCGGATACGGTTGCAACAGCAGGCCATGAAGGCTCTCCAAGACGAGTGGGAAGCCCAGAAACACGAATTTGAAGAGGAAGTCATGCAATACAAGGAACAAATCAAACAGCACTCCCAGACAATCGTGAGTCTGGAGGAAAGACTCCAGCAAGTAGCTCAACACCATAAAAAAATAGAGGGAGAGATTGCCACATTGAAGGACATCGACCCAGGTAGGCTCTAGGGACGACAGGGACATCCAGGCAACAGGGCAGCTCCTGACGACCCTCTGCCCCCCACCCCCTACCCGCAAGCTGATGATTGAGAGAAAGGGGGGCACCTTGCTTCTCAGATGTTAGAAGCCCTCAAGGCCAGGCTGATGAGAAGTAATGCAAATGAGTCAGGACATCCTTTGTGCCAACCCAGTGAGCCGGGGCTGTTAGTGCCAGCGAGCGCACGCCACGGAGCTGCTCTTCCGCATGAGAACATCCCAGGCGGGGGGCCTTCAAAGGTCTCCCATGCCATCGGTCACTTGCGGCCTGACCAATGCACTTTCATAAGCATCCAGGACCCACCCCTTACAAAATAAGCCCTAAAAGGGCTCAAAACAGACTTGCGTCACTCATGTGTACTAAATGGCCTTGGTCACTCATCTTGTGACAGACACTAAGCTCTGGTGGCGAATTCTAGAAGGGGAGGCCTCAGGTCCTGGTTTTTGGCCTTGGCCTTGTTGACATTTGGGACTGGAGCAGTCTTAGCTGGGGTGAAGTCCTGTCCCAAGCCTGTTAGGGAGTTAGCTGCATCCCTGGGCTCCACCCACTGAATGCCCATCGCTGTCCCACCTCACAACCAAAAATGTCTCTCTCTCTCTCTCTCTCTCTCTCTCTCTCTCTCTCTCTCTCTCGGTGTGACCAAATGCCCCATTGAGGCAAGCTTACCCTGGCTGAGAAACACCGTCCTTTGTCTCCCGTAGGTGAGCCGTTCAGTCCTCTCAGTTGGGTGTGGTTCTTCCCAACTCCACACGTGCTGACTGTGTGGCCCGGGACAACTCCAACCACCTCACCAAGCCATCACCTCTGATGGTTCAGCCTCATTCATATAGGCACTGGGGGTCAGTGAGGGACAAACCAGTTACTGTCCCAGACAGGTGATCCAAATTAGACAGGGCCTCCCCACAGCAAGGGCACAGAACAAAGACCCAGTTTCCTAACCCAGAAGCTAGGTCAGGAGAGGACCTGAGGGTGACAACCTGTTTGTCATTCCACTTTTAGATCAGTACCTTGTAGTAGGCATTGTTTGTAGAATGAATAAGTGAGTGAGTAAGAAAGGAAACCAGAAAGCAGTGGGCTGAGTAAGAGGAGGCAAGGACAGGAGGCCATCAAGCCTCTAAGGCTTTTGTCTGGGTGGGAATAAGAAAGAAGGGCTGGTGGTGTGACCAGCACAAAGACTGTACCTCCCCAAGGGCCGCTGCCAGCAGGGTCCCTCCTTCTATTATCCATTCCTTGTCTATAAGTGGTTCTGGTGATCCCTGCCTTGCGTGTTAGCTGGGAAGATTTCATGGCCTCTACTCGTCCATTCTCTGTTGGTGCTGACCCAGTCCCACACACTGCATAAGTTACATGGACAACAGTTTTATTTTGGCTCACAGGTCTAGTCAGTCAAGGGTCCACGTTTGGTGATGGCCTTCCTGCCGGCAGTGTCGGGAGGAGGCACGGGGCAACACACGATGTTCTGGCCCCTCTCCCTCTTCTTATAAAGCCACCGAGACCCCACCCTGATGACTTGCTCTAACCCCCACCAAGGTCCTGCCTCCGCACCCCACAGTGGAATTAAGTTGCCCCTCCTTTTTTGGTGAGAGTGGGTTTTGAACTCAGGGCTTCACACTTGCTCTGGCTATTTTGGAGATGGGGGTCTCACAAACTTTTTTCCCGGACTGGTCTGAAACCTCCATCCTCCTGATCTCGCCCTCCCAAGTAGCTAGGATTACAGGCGTGAGCCACCAGCACCCGGCTAGTTGCCGCTTCTTAATAAATGTCGGCGTGCATTTTGGAGCATACAAGCCATATTCAAGCCATACAACCTCACACATGGTGAGAGGCCAGCCTGCCACACAGCATGCACAGTGAGGGGTGGGAGTGCAGAGAGGGTCAGGGGCTGTGAGGGACGGGTGTGTCCAGAGGGGAAGGACAGTGCCCATTGCATGGATGTGATGGCCTTGCTGTGTCCCTCTGATTCAGCTCAAAAGGAGGAAATGACCCAGGAGTCTCCAGCAGCACCCTTGTCAGAGAGCAGCACCAAAGATACCGCATGTGATCATTTGATGTGAGTACCAGGCGTGAGGTGAGCGCCAGGCCGGCCCGATGGCTTCCAGGGGAGCCTAAGCATGATCAGATCCATGTGCGCAGAACCTGGGAAAGGAGCTATAGTCCCGAGTTGTCCCAGTGTCACTTAGATTCTACCAGCCACCTCAGGAGGGTGTCATGCAAAGATCCAGGTAGATCTATGTTCAGTCCCCAATTCCACACTGACTGCCTATGTGGCCCTGGATCACTCAGGCCACCTCACTGAGCCTTAGCCTCCTGGCTGGCACGACAAAGATGCACACTCCTGTTTCTTGGTAAAAGTGAGCTCCTCTCCTGAGAACCTGCTGGGGGCTGCCCATTGCTGTGGCCTCAATGGACAGTGGAGCCCACTCAGTAGGTGGGTCCTGGGAAGAGCTGGTCTCTCTCCACCCAAGAAGGATTGATAATTCCAGGAGCTGACAATTTTCAGAAAAACAAAATCTGTGGACAGGAAAGATCCAGAAAGTCATTGCAAAGCAATGTGTACAGGTGTTCAGAAAAGATGGCAAGCCACCAACCTGACCTTAGCACCAAATTTCTATTACCAAAGGTTATGGTCACGGGGCTTTCACCCCCAAGAAAGGCAGAGATACGCCCCTCAAGTTTTGAAAAGTTCCCAGCTGCCTCTTCCTCCTGTTAAATCTCTCTCTCTCTCTCTCTCTCTGGCAGTACTGGGGTTTAAACTCAGGGCATTGAACTTTCTAGTCAGGTACTCTACCACTTAAGTAGGCCCTCAGCCCTCTAGTTTTTTTCTTTGCATTAGTTATTTTTCAGGTAGCATCTTGTGCTTTTGCTTAGGTAGGCCTCAAACTGCAATCCTCTTACCTATGCCTCCCACATAGCTATGATTAGAGGCATTCACCACCATGCCCAGCCCCTCCTGTTAGAACTTTCTAGAGACAGCAGTGGCCAGGGCTCAGAAATGAATCTGCAGCCATGTTGCTCTCTCTGGTCACTGCACTAGCGTGTGGTTAAGTTAGGTCTAAACGCAGTCCTCACATTGGAAGAATTACAGGTGTAGCCTAGACAAGAAAGAGGGAAGCAGAGAGACAATGTGTACAGTTACTTCATTTGGTAATCACCAATCTCTCTTTTCTTTTCTTTTCTTTTTTTTTTTTTGACACACATTCTGACAGTATTTTTGCTTTTTATGTAATTAACACACACCCTCCCTCCCTTCAAAAGTCTATATGAGAAAAGCCCGGATGTCAAAGGCCTGTGCTGCCCAGATACTGTCTCTTCACCCTCTTGTGATTGTGCAAGACGACAGCACTTTCTGCTCCGACACAAACACATACACAGCATGAGGTTCCTCCCACTTGCTTGGAAACATATCTCTGTTCCTTCAGATGTCGCCCCACCCACCCCCTTGATCCACCATTACAGCTGGGTGCCTGTCCCATACAGCATTGCTCTGCTGGGTGTAGTCATCCTTGTGGTGTCAAAGTGTCTCCGGCCCTCTAGGATACAGGGGAGGGGACACTGTCTTCTCGCCATCCCTGCATCCACTCAGTTGTCTGGGTCCCAAAGCCTACGGTCCCTCAGCTCCCCCATGCACACCATCCATTCACACGACCCATCTTTCTCCACCAGGACTCAAAGGCTCTAGAGAGAACAAAAGCCATATTGTCTCCCTCTCTTCTTCCCCATCCTCAGAGAAGACCTGCACCCCAAAATAGTCCTCTGTTTTCCTTCTACCAAAAGCCCATGGGCATCTCAACCCATGCCAATGGATTGGAAACTGGACAGGCAGGTCTAAGCAACGCACAGCTCACCTCAGACCCAACCCTGCCAGGCCCTGCATTCTGTCTCAGAGGGGTTGGGTTTAATGAAGGGTTATCCAAATGAATTTGTTTTTTGAGAACACTAAAAGGTGTCCTGGTCCCTACCCCAGGCGGGGGTCCCATGGACCACGACTGAGCATCACTTCACCCTTCCAGCCACTCTGGAGACACCATGGAGGTTGGGTGGCGCTGACTTGGGCTGTGTTGTGAGTTTCAGAGACGACTTACTGTCCGCTCAGAAGGAAATCCTGTCTCAGCAGGAGGTCATCATGAGGTTGAGGAAAGACCTTAACGAAGCCCACGGCCGGATGTCAGATCTGAGAGGTTTGTCCCAGTGCCTGTGTCTCTTGACATCCTACCCACTAGAGAGAGGAAGAAAACGAGGCCAAAGAGTTGGCCCGAAAATCCCTGGAGGACCGGCTTTCCTGGGCACATTTCAGCCCCTGGAACTTAGGGGTCACATAGGCTATGCCCTGGACATGGCCCTGGTTCCTACCCACTAGTCCCCAGGGGCCCTGAAAACATGATTTTTTCTTTCCTGGTACTGGGGCTTGAAATCAGGGCCTACACCTTGACCACTCCACTAGCCCTTTTTTGTGAAGGATATTTTTGAGATAGGGTCTCAAGAAACTATTTTCCTGGGCTGGCTTCAAACCACAGTCCTCCTGATTGCTGCTAGGATTACAGAATGAGCCACTGCCACCCAGCTAATGACTTTTCTTCTTTTATTGCAGGGCTCCCTAGGAAAATAACCAAGGGCGCCCCTGGGACAGGGCAGGTGGCAGGGACCAGTACTCGCTAGTGCATGGGGTCCTCTCCAGGCCTCTTCTGCCTCCAGGGCAAAAAGGAGGTCACATGCCTGCTTCCTAAGGTCGCTGAGGATGTCAGCGGCCGCCCAGGATAGGGACGAGAGAGCCCTGAGCCACACTTCTCTGCTCACTGGACCTCCTCTGTTTCTCTCTCCCTGCCTTTTAATTTCTGCCTCCTTCCTCTGTGGCCACCTTCTGTTTCCCCTCCTGAGTCTCCATCGAGACAAAAGGCATGGGCAGGCAGGAAAGAGGTGAAACTAGATCTGGGAGGTGGAGGGAGAAAAACATATGCTCTTGTCCCTTCTGGAGCCCTGGATGTTCCAAAACCATTGGTATTTGTTCTTGGTGTCAAGTACTGTTAGTACACCCAGGCCATTTAGGGCTAAATTTTTCAGAGTCACTTTTTTGAATGAAGTATATGTTTGCCAATATAGTATAGATTACCACATCCAGTTCTAGAGTCAGGAGACACTGGACCCAGTTCTGGGCCTGCTCATTATAAATTGTATTTTACCTTTTCAAGCCTCAGTCTCCACATCTATGTAGTGGGTGCTTATAGTAACTATCTCCCTTGCAGACTGCTATGAAGACTCAAGGTAATGTGGAGTTAGCGTAGATTCCCCAGCAACACCCCAGGGAAGGCAGAAGTGATATAGGGATGTGGGGGAGTAAATGATGATACCGTCCACAGAGTAGGCATGGCGGGCAGCTGGAACCTAATCCTGCTGGGGAGTGCTAGGAGCAGAGTCCAGCCCGAGCCTGCAGACCATCACCTAAGAGGGAATGGAGCTGGAGAGCTGGGAACATGGACTGCTGCCCATGCCAGCCATTGGTGGGAGGGAGGTCATTACACCTGGCAGACACACAGCCCAGGAGGCTCCAGGGATCTGAGAACACCCTTGAACAAAAAGATGCTGAATGTTGGCCAGAGAGCCCTAAAACACCAGGGGGAGGCCAGTGGGGCCCCTGCAGCCTCTGCCGGCACAGTGGAGTGAGGCAGGGGTGCAGGGCTCCCATTCAGCACCTGCCAGAAGTTGGGGTGGTTTCTCAGGTTCTAAAGCCCCTGAGAGTTCCAGAGGGCAGACCCACCACGTTGTTCTTGTGAGCCTAGATTCACAGTGACCCCGGCAGGGGTCCAAGGCGGGGACCCCTCACCAGCTGTCCTATCGCCCCAGGGGAGCTTAGCGAGAAGCAGAAGATGGAGCTGGAGCGGCAAATCGTTCTGGTCCAGCAGCAAAGCAGCGAGATGAGCGTGCTCAAGGTGAAGCTGGCACAGATGAGCGGCCTGGTGGAGAAGAAGGACAGGGAGCTAAAGGTCCTGAAGGAGGCGCTCAGGTGTGCGGAGGGGTCCGCGCGGCCTGCAGAGTGCCAGGAGCCCTTCGTGGGGAGAGGGCTGAGGAAATACTGGTCCCATTGAACGGATGAGTAAATGAAGGAGTAACGTCTCATTGTGTCACAGCCTCATCAATTTAAACAGCGTTTTGCTTAGTGCTGTGCTTCTCAAACATAGCTACCCAATATCCCAGACGATGGGGCTCAGCTCAAATGCCACTTCCTCCAGGAAGCCCTTCTCACTCACCTTCACCAAACACAGTCAAGGCTCCTGCTTGGGTCCCTCAGCCCCCACACTGCCTGGCCTGTCACCACACATCACATCTACTCTTGCCAGTTCAACTGTCTGCCTGCCTTGAGGACAGGATCTGTAGAGACCTTACCTCCCAGAACTTCCAGCATTCACACAGGCCTGATGCATAAAGAAGCTATTTATCAAATAAATGAGTAGGCTGAAGGTATCAGCTCCAAATAAATACAAAATAGTGTCACTGCCCCATGGCTTAATCTTTTTTTTTAAAATGTGAGTCTGCATTTTTGCTCATACCTTATATCCATATTTTTAGCAAATGGATGTTTTCCCCCAAAAAAAAGTTTGAGTGCAAGCGATGTTTTGTGTTTCTCCTGTACTTTCATGGGCCTCGTGGCTCATGTACATGGCAGATTCACACAGTGGTGAAAAAAACAGGCTCCCAGTCCTGGCTGTCACTCACCAGTTCAGTGACCACAGGCAAACCGGGGTGTGTCTTGCCTGAAAAACAGGGCAGAAACAGTCTCTGACTCTTATCGGGTCATGATGAGACTAGAAGGGTTCAAAGGTAGAAAGTGGCAGACATGGCAGACGTGCAGTATAGGCCCCATCAAAACCACAGCAGATGGACATAGACTGAGAGAGGAAGAAGCAGGGCCCACTGCCAGGTCCTGTCCCTGTAAGGCCCCTGAAACTGGATTCTTTAAAAATCCGGGTGTGGGAGACTGAAGAACTGGGTTCCCATTTAAAAAGAGCTCCATTTCCCAGTCTGCCGAAGGATCCAAAGGTACTTGAAACTCCCACAGTCTGCCACCCTGTGACGCCCTTCTTTGCTCTAGGGCTTCCCAAGAGAAACAAAAACCCCAGCCAAGCATGGAGAAGGAGCAGAAGCCCAGGAAGCCAACCCAGAAGTGTGACATCTCAGTGCAGATAGAGCCAGTCCTCCTGGATGTTTTGTCCAGCAGCCAGGAGGTGAGTGCTCGAGCTCCTGGGGACCTGCTACAGAAGAGCCCGGGGTGGCTTGCTTTCTTTCTGAAAATATTTTCATTGTAAGTTCTGAAAGCATTGCTTGCCTGCGTGAAGTATATAAAGGAAAACAGGATCCTGCCGAGAGGACCGTAGTCTCCAGGGGCTAAGCTGTCAGCAATGTAAGCAGGGGCCACTGAGTCTTCATTCTGCGTGAATGGGCAGTGGTTGAAGATCAGGCTTGGATCCAGTCTACCTGGCTTAGACTCCCAGCTCCTCCACTTAGAAACTCTGTGACCTTTGGGAGGCCACTGTGTGCCACCTAGTTCCCTCATCTGGGAGTAATGATGTGATAATCACCACCATATGGGGTAGCTGAGTCATAAATTTTTTTATGCATGCATAGGTAAAGTCACACAAATCCATACGTATATTATTCGGGAGGTAATTTTTTCTCATGGTATCAAACCATATATATTCTGCAGCTTACTTGTTTTAATCTAACACTATCTCTTAGGCATCTTTTCAAGTAAGTGTATAAAGATCCATCTCATTCTTCTCTTTCTGTGTCCCTTTCATCCAACCAGCCCCCGGTTTCGATGGACATTCAGGTTGTGTCTGCTTTCACATGGCGCTGTGGTTAATATACTTCCACGTCTGCAGAACACATTCCTAGATGTGAAGTTGCTGGGCCCAAAGGGCTTCATAGGACCAAATGGCCTTCCCAATGAGTCATGCAATTAATGCCCTGTGATGTCTCTTGATAAAGTCTCTCTGTATACCACCCAGAAGTCCCAGCTGCTCATCCAGTGGGGAGCATTTCTGGCAAGAACAGCCTTCATCAGGAGGTCCCCAAAGCTGGTGCTGTGACATTTCCCATCACCCCTTGTAAGCTGATTATGGGGTGCAGTGGTTCCTTGAGGCCCCCATTTCCTAGAGTCCAGGACATCCTTTCCAGAGAGCAGGGCATTCCAGTGAGAGACTTTGGACTCTCACTGGGGAACAGAGCCAAATGTGTCAGCAAAGACACTTCCCCTGCCAGACAGCAGAGAGCCAGGGCCACAGGCAGCTTGGACAAAAGACTCGAGGTCTACTTGGTTGTCCCTGGCACCAAGTGCTGTCCAGCACATTTTAACATAAGTGGCTTCTGTTGCTCAGGACAACCGGGGGAGGGGACCTGGGGAGGGTCCAGGAGGCTGGAAACTCCGTAGGGCAGGAAGCATGAGTTGCTCCTGTTGGAATCTCAAACCCTTAGAGCAGGACCTGACTCACAGTCACTCACTCCAGTAACTATTAAGCACCTGCTATATGCCAGGCTGTGTGCCAGATACAGGGAAATTGGCACAGGGTCCCTGCCCACCCCAACTCCCCAGACTCAGTACATGTTTGCTGGAGTGGGTTGTGGAGTGGGGACCCTGTGGTTTTTTGTTTCTTTCATGAGGCACTGTTAGTTAGGGAGGGTGGAGGAGGGAGGCTGCAAGATAAAAGGATTTGTTCCTCCTTGGACCGGCTTTCCTCCACAGGCTACTTCCTGTTTTCTAAGCCAGAGTGGGTCAGAGGGCTCAAGAGTTGTATGAGAAAGAATCTCTTTCCTCTCCAAATAAAGAAGTTCCCAGACAGGCCGTGAAGAAGGTCACGTGTGCTCAGCCCTGGACTTCCTCTTCAGGCCAAGTAAAGGCCCAGTCTCGCTGCTGTGCCTCCCTCAGGCCAAGTAAAGGCCCAGTCTCGCTGCTGTGCTTTCCCCTTGGCCTCCCTCCACATGCAGCCTCTCCTGCCCTCTTCATTCAGAGAGAGACCATTCCAGGTGGCTTCTCCCAAGGCGAACAGAGCCTCTGAGAGACCTGGAAGCCAGTGCAGAGTCATTCCCAGGAAACAGGCCGGCCAGGTTCCCAGGACAAGCAAGGTCCTACCAAGTGCAGTGGCCTGTCTCTCAAATGCTGGGCGCCAGCAGCTGGGCCACAAGGCTGCTGCTTCTGACCTCCCTTCGCTCAGGCTGTGCATTTGCTGAGCACCAACTGTGCTCAGCACACTGTTTGGCCCTGGGACGACCAACGGAGATGGACTTTGCTCTCACAGAGCCTGGGCACTGGGAGGGGAAGATAGAAACAAGTCCACAATGAGTAAAACGTCCAGTGGAAACAAGTCCCCTGAAGAGCTAGGTAGCAGGATTTTGGGACAGAGAGCATCATGGTGGGGAGAGGGGCTCCTCTTTTGAGATCGGGCAATCAGGGGGCCTCTGCAGGAGGAGACTTGGAACAGAGACAGAAAGAAAGGAAGGAGAACATGGTAGGGACATTGTGGGGTAAGGGACATTCTCAAGAGGGCCCCTAAGGAGGCCATGGGCCTTGAGCCCGAGGTGGTCAGGGTGACTAGCACAGGGCCTGGGGCCTCTGAGAAGCACTGGGGTCATGGAAGGAAGAAGAACAAATGAGAATGACTGTCTCTGCCTCTCCTCTGCTTGGCTGGCCTAATTCCTCACTCTCTGGAATTGGAGTATTTACAGGATCAGATTGGTCTGTCTGGTCCCCATCACACCTCAGTGCCTGGAATTGTGTTTGCTATGTAGTCAGTGAGCGGTGTAGAAAGAGGGGGAAGGGGGAAGAAGGAGATGAAGGAGAGAGAAGGAGAAAGGAGAGAGAGGAGGAGAGGAAGAAAGAGAAGAGTGAGAGAGAGGAGGATGAGAGTGAGAGAGGAGAGAAGGAGAAAAAGGAGAGTGGAGAGTGAGAGAAAGGAGAGAGAAGAGGGAAAGAGAAGGGTGAGAGAGGAGAGAAGGAAAGGAAGAAAGAGGAGGCTGAGAGAAGAGAGGACAGAGGGAAGAGAGAAGAGAGAAAGAAAGG